GGTAGGTAATGGTATATAATGATATATGAATTTTAAAAAAGTAACACTGCAATTATATCAACAAACAATATTTGCTGTACGTATGATAGTGAAACCTTAAATGTCAAAAATGTCAGCATTGGTTCAAAAAACTTAAGGATGGGAATTTTAATCTGAAAGATGAACTTCACTCTGGACAACCTTCTGGATCACAAAATGCTAAAATTTTTACAATAATAGAAGTTTACACAAAACTATCTAGATGAGTAATTGCAGAAAAACTTGGGAGTGTCATGTACAGCAGTTAGGCAGCTGCATCAATTAGAAAGATACACAAATATGGGATATGGGTTCCTCATGACCTTACTGAACAGAATCATCTAGATCAATTATCCATGTATGTTTCACTTAATAGGCAATAGCAAACTATTTCTGACAAGATAGTAACTAGGAATGAGAAATGCACTATACACTAACGTCATTTGTAAAAAAACAGTTGTTAGATCCAAAAGAGCTCTAGAATCAAAACATGGTCATCATCTTAAAAAGATATTACTGTGTATATGGTGGATATAAAAAAATACTGCATTTTGAGTTCTTGACTCTAAATAAACAGTAAATGCTTTTACAAAGTTTTTCCAATTGGAAAAACTGTAAAAAACCTCCAAGAAAAACATCCATATTCGACAAATAGCAAGGGCATCTTTTTGTTACACAATAATACTAAATGCCATGTTACAATAGCCACCTCAAAAAAATTGAGTTTAATTAGAAAGTTCTCTTTCATGCCTCATAATCTGAACTGGCCCCTACAGATTACCACCACCTGTTTTGGTTTCCTAAAACAATTTTAATGGAAAAAGTTTTAATCCAAGAAACTTTTAATTCAAAACAAGCTATCCAGAGCCACAAAGAAATGTTTTTTGAATTAAAATCTCACGATTTTTATAAGGCATCAAAAAATTTTTAGACTGATGGAAAAATGTCATATCTAATGAAGATCATTATATATTGGATTAAATCAGTGTTTTTCAACCTTTTGGTCATGACCCCCAGGGGGTCGCAAAGCCTTACACGAAGGTCACCGGTAAAAGAAAAAGATAAGCGTTTGTAGGTCCTACACTACAATAAAAAAAACTACAATTTTAGTGAGAAGGCTGTGCCAGTTTATTTTTTAATAATATGTCAAAACATGGTTCCATTTTTGAGAAGCAAATAACTAAATCATTTTCTAATTGAAGCTGCACGAGGCACACTTGCCTCCAGCTCCCCCGTGGCAAAGTTACTATTTGCAGGGCTTTTGCGACTTCTTTGAACAGTACAATTGGTTTTTCTATCGATATTTAGGTCTCAACAGAAAGAAAATTAAATACGTAGTTTTTAAATTCACTGACATAGTTTTAATATAGCCTGGGGGTTGCCAGAATTTTTTAACTTGTAAAGGGGTCGCGTATTCAAGAAGGTTGAAAAACACTGGATTAAATAAATATTTTTTAATGTAAATAAAGTCTATTAAAATGTATAAAAAAAACTTTACTTATGACTCAACCCAATATATTCCTTGAAAGCTTTTGTTTTTAAAATAATTTAAATAAAATTAAATTTTCAACTCTGGGAAATAAATTATTTTATTTAACACAGTTATTGTAATTAAATACAATAGCTGAATCAATTAATAACCAAATATATAATAGTACTATACTGTACTACTTAATATCTAACTTGTTTCATAATTAATATTGTAATCATCAAATAAGTCATAAGAACTTAACAAAAATATCTGAACTTTTGTATAAATTCATGTTTTAATTCCACAAATAAATGTCTAGTTGTAAAACTTTTAAATACATTTTTATAATTATTATATATGTACTTTAAAAGCAAGTGTTTAGATATTCTTCAGTTAAAGATTTTCAGATTTAAATATATATAAACTTTTCTCGGTGTTTTAATGTTATGAAATTAAAATCAAGTTTAATGTGAAATTTTTATACAGTGTTGTTAAAATATATTTCAAATTTTGTAAAAATGCTAATAAAATATCTTTTTTGATTTTTGAAGTAATCATAGATTTTTTTTATACAGATACTATTAAAGAGAAAGAAAAAACATGCAGTAACTTTTCTCATAACTTTCTATAAACAGAAAGGTATGAGAAATTAGAAAGTTATTATAAGCAGTGGTGATATTCAGCGGGTACGCACAGGTTCGGCCAAACCCAATATTAACATTTTCAAAGTTTTCCAAACCTTGTTAAACACACGTAACATTTCTCAGTGGTTTTGTTTCTTTTAAAAAATATATTAAAATATACATATTATACTCTGTAACACTACTAAACTAGAGCCTTATACCCCATTTGCCTTGGTGTGACCTCCCTCAACTGTTTCAATCTTGACTGAAACGAGGTTCAATCGCAGTTGACTCAAGAGAGTTCTTGAAACTAAATCCAGCATAAGAGAGATCCCACAATACCACGTGCGCAAGAAAATACAAGATGGCTGCGGAACACATGTCGTAATAAAATATGTACAAAATAAACCATTTTGAATGCTCTTTTTTATTATTTATCAAAAAAAAAAATATATATATATATACAAGGTCTGTTCAAAAAGTATCGGACCTTATTTTTTTCCGCGTAAACCAATGATGCGCGAGAGGCCTCCTTTGGTGGAGTTGTGGAGAGGATAGTCATGCACATCTCTGAATTTTTTCCCGCCTGCAGGAAGCGTCAGTCGTTGGCAATCGGCCTATGAGTGAGGTCATGTAGAGCGCTCTCGTCGGATTCCACTAAGCTGAAAAATGACTGAACAACGCGAGCAGCGGTATTACATCAAATTTTGCCAAAAACCTTGACGATACCCTAGTGTAAATCATTCGCAAGATTCAGCAGGCTTTCGGGGACGATCCTCGAGGCCAAAAAAAAGCGCGGCAGGTCTGCAGCAATATCAAAGGTCATGTTGACAGTTTTTTCGACTCTCGTGGGGTGGTGTGTCGTGAGTACGCACCACAAGGCCAAACCATCGCAAAGGAGTACTACCAGGAGGTCCTTCGTCGTCTTTCCGATACAGTGCGACGCAAACGACCGGATCTGTGGTCGATCAAAACTTGGCAGCTCCATCGTGATAACGNTGATTAACAGGATCATTTGGCATCTATGCAAGCATATAGCCTTGCATCATAATCAGTTTGGCTTTTCTAAAAACAAAAGAACTGTAGATGCCATCCACCAAGTCGTTAATTACATCCACCAGGCTAAACAAAACAATCAGCATACTGCAATTATCACTATTGACTTTAGAGCAAGGGGTTTCCAACAGTTTTTGCCCTCGGGCAACATTGGAACAAAAACTTTTTTCATGGGCCGAACCAGAGGCTGCCCTAGGAAGATTTTGAGGTGGTGCAAGATCTTGTTGTGGTGTCACCCCATAGAGACTGAATTGTAGATAGAGATTATAAATACATTTTTCATATTATCATGCTTTATCAACGTTCTACGCTGTATCTAAGAGATTTGTAATGAAAGGTTAACTCTAAACGCACAATTGTTAACCTTTTTTTTAGGCATTAGCATTTTTCACCGATCTATGCTGTCTTGAGGAGCTAATATTGAGAGATTAATCACAGGCCACATAATTCCATTACACGGGCCACTTCCAGCCCGCAGGCAGTATGTTGGCCATGCCTGCTTTAGAGGCACCTTTGATCAGCCTAGTGGTCTTCTTACACATGATACATGCTCATCACTGCCCTGAAAAACTTTACAAACTTCTTCAGTCCTATCTTAACAACAGGAGTGCAGGTTTTTAATCTTCTGAAACCGTGTTTTCTTAATTTTTTTGATTCACTAGCACAAGGTGTGTTACCATTTTAATACTTGGCAGTATTCCATGTTTATTTAGTTGATACAACTAAACAAAGATAGAATACCGCCATCTTTATTTAGTTGGATCTACTAAATAAACATGGAATACCTCCAAGCGTTGAAATGGTAACACACCTCGTGTGTTAGTGAATCAAAAAAAGGAGTGCAGGTGTTTATACAACACAAAATAACATAGTCATTTCCATCACTCGGGGCTGTCCTCAGAGATTCAGGTCTGGTCCTGGAGTCTGGAACATAGCCTACAACTCTATTCTGCACTTAAATGACACCCTGCCTCCTGGCTGTCTCATGCAGGGGGTGACACAATTATCCTAGCTTCACATGGAAACAGTGAATGCTTACAGGACATATCCAACGACATTCTCAATAACATTCACCAGTGGAGTATTAAGCATAGGCAACCCATTAAAACAGACAAATGCAAAAGCATGATTGTTGGTAGGAATGCACCACTCATCAGGAAGCTTACCCTTCGAATCGGTGCTCACAGAATAAAGCAAACAACGGAAATCAAATATTTAGTTGTTGTTCTTGATGAGAGACTTAACTTCACACTCCACATCAAATACTTCAAGGACAAAGCTAAAAAGACAGCCAATATAATTTTTAATTTTGCTAGGAACATATGGGGCCTTGGCCCTAATGCTACTAAGCTTATTAATATGTAAATTTTCGACTATAAATTCGACTATCTTCTATTATCAGGACTTATTATACTGGTTTTACAGATAAAATTACAAAGATTAACAGAAAACAATTTTTATTTTATTTCGTATACCTGTAAATATAAAAATTGTTTTCTGTTAATCTTTGTAATTTTATCTGTAAAACCAGTATAATAAGTCCTGATAATAGAAGATAGTCGAATTTATAGTCGAAAATTTACATATTAATAAGGAAAAAAAGGACATTGAGGCAATTTAATTAACTTTCAAAATATGTTTGATTTATTCAAATTCATATGCACAAAAAGCATTTTAATCTCATTATATACAGTAATAACAATTAAATTTTCAAAATTTCAGCATTATAAGTTATTAAAATAAATATTTCCATTAATTAAACAGTTAAATTAAAATATTTTAAAATAACATTAAGTAAATGATGACTATAAAAAGTTAAACAAAAACTTTACCATTATACAGGAAATGAATAGTCAGTAACATTATTTTCTTATTTTTTCATTTTTTTTTTCAGGAATTCATTTTTTATTGTTTGATTTAGTTTCATCATCTATTAAAAAAATATTAACACAAATTAAAAAATTTAATAAATAAAATCATTTTTTTTCATAGATGTCAGCTGATATTATGTATAATTTATCAAAAACAATTAATATCAATTAAATATATAAAATAAAAATGTATGTTACAATAACATAAGCAACAACCCAATTTATTTGTATTGAATTTATTTACTCCTCAAAATAGCTCAACGATTATTCTGGCAGATTGTTTGGTGGCATGTTATAATATACAATATAATACAATATATATATATAATAATACAAAAATATTTGCTATTCATCTGAAATAATAAACTTATATTAAAAATAATAAAATCACAATAAAATCAAGTTCAATTATTTAGATTTGTGATCAAATCCAGACAGGTCAAAAAACCTAAGGAATTATTTGGAAAGTGATCTGTCTTCAATATTTCAGATCCCCATCCCTCAACATCTGGCTGCCCCATTGTGAATCTGACCAACAACAAATTTAAAAAAAAAAACCCAAAAGATGGAAAGAGTAAAAACAAAAGTTTATTTTACTAAATAATTGGGATGTAATTTTAAAATTACAGACCTATAAATTCTAACTGGTATCTGTCTGTCTGACTTCACTTCTTAATTTCAAGAATGGAATTAGATAGATGAATATTGAGATCAGATATGGAAAGCTTAGGAGCTGAAGGCCCTGATTAACTATATACAAACTTCTAGTTTGGATTGGAAGTCATGTTGTTTCGATTCAAAAATTTTCTCCAGAACAGAGTTAGAAAAGTGATCAACATGACTGTCTTGTTAACAAGAAAATGGTGTATGATGTACAGGGCAAGACACTACTAAAATCAAGAGCATTGTGCATTGAGATCCAAAAATTTGCTGTCCAACATTGTTACGATGTCATAATAAATAATTACTCATTTTCTATATATATTAAAACAAAATAATGATAAAATTAAATATTTTGTATATTTAGTGAAATGAACACTATTAATTTTAAAAGGCTGATTGCTCAATTTATTACCATTTACGCAGCAAATTACAGAACTCACTAAAAATGATCAACTAAAGAATTGGTTAAGAAAAATGGTCCACTAAAAATAATGTATCAGTCATCAAGTATCATTAAAAAACAAAGTAATATTTGTAGCACAGCAATAAAATTTGATAAAAAAAAACTAAAATAACATTTTAGTCAGATAAATGCTAGAATTAAATCATTCCAAACTCGCTTATCAATGGTTTACAATTTCATGAATCATTAAAAGTTAAATAGTCTAACTCTAACTAAAAATTTTCAGTATAATTCATTTTATACTGCTAAATAAATCATTGTAATTCAATTAATTAAACAAAAAAGATAATTTTGAAGTTATTTGTTCCAAACATTATGCTTAATTAAGAAATTAATGCAAAATTTGAAATGCCATTTTATATTATTACATTTAGATAACATTGTGATTACAATATTACTCTTTTACAAACATATAAACTTAATAAAAAAATATAACTAAGATATTTCATATAACATTTCAAAGTATAGGCAGCTCCTGCTTTACAAGTTCCCAGTTTATGAATTGTGAAGATATTTCTTTTGTGTCAAAAATACAGCATTAGCTGCAAAAATAAAAACTACACATTCTTAAATACTATATTTCAAATTCTTATCAGTGATGCAGTCTGCTGTACTTATGAATGCTTTCTACAACAGACAAATGGAGGTATTATCTCAGTGATAGCACAGACTACCACTGAGATAAGAAGAGTACCACTTATTCAGTTACCATCTAGCTGCTAATGAGTTCAGATTATTGATTTCCATCTTTGCTGTTATGTTATTCAAAAAAAAAAAAAAAAAGAATGTTTTAAATTTATCCTCTTTTTCAATACATCAGAAATAAGAAATAACACAAAGACTATAATAAATAAGAGACAACAGAAAGCAATAACAGAAAAAAACAAACTTATCAACAGCCGAAAAACATTGTTAAAAAATATGTAAAATATTCTTTAAGTTCTAGTGTATGTATGATATTGATTGTATTTAATTGATGATGATAATTAAATAAACTGTTTCAATATATCTATATATGCAAATAAATTCTTTTTACATTATTATTAGGAATCAGCTTGATTTTAAAGCCTCTTAACTCTTTTAATTTTATAAATAAATCATTGTTTATATATAAATTATTGTTTCTGATGCCTTGTTTTTTAATACATGTCAAAATTCATTTTCAGAAACATAACTTCCATCTGTAATTGTATGGTAATCCCATGTGCAGATTATGTCTATGAACAATTATTTTTTGCTTTATAACGTCTTGCTAGAAATAAATTAAGTTATAAAGACAGGACTTCATGCATTTAAAGATATCATTACTAAAACAAAAAAAAATATTAAAAGATTTTATTTCATTTAAATACATTCAAAATCTTTTCCTACCTTTGTGTTCAAAAGTATATATTTTTAAAACTAGGATCTTAAGAATCGTTATTTCAAATACATCTCTTATCATTCATTTTCAAGGTTACAGAATTTTAAAAATGAAATGTCAGAATATCAATTCAAAAATTCATATAANAAATAATTTAAATAAAATTAAATTTTCAACTCTGGGAAATAAATTATTTTATTTAACACAGTTATTGTAATTAAATACAATAGCTGAATCAATTAATAACCAAATATATAATAGTACTATACTGTACTACTTAATATCTAACTTGTTTCATAATTAATATTGTAATCATCAAATAAGTCATAAGAACTTAACAAAAATATCTGAACTTTTGTATAAATTCATGTTTTAATTCCACAAATAAATGTCTAGTTGTAAAACTTTTAAATACATTTTTATAATTATTATATATGTACTTTAAAAGCAAGTGTTTAGATATTCTTCAGTTAAAGATTTTCAGATTTAAATATATATAAACTTTTCTCGGTGTTTTAATGTTATGAAATTAAAATCAAGTTTAATGTGAAATTTTTATACAGTGTTGTTAAAATATATTTCAAATTTTGTAAAAATGCTAATAAAATATCTTTTTTGATTTTTGAAGTAATCATAGATTTTTTTTATACAGATACTATTAAAGAGAAAGAAAAAACATGCAGTAACTTTTCTCATAACTTTCTATAAACAGAAAGGTATGAGAAATTAAAAAGTTATTATAAGCAGTGGTGATATTCAGCGGGTACGCACAGGTTCGGCCAAACCCAATATTAACATTTTCAAAGTTTTCCAAACCTTGTTAAACACACGTAACATTTCTCAGTGGTTTTGTTTCTTTTAAAAAATATATTAAAATATACATATTATACTCTGTAACACTACTAAACTAGAGCCTTATACCCCATTTGCCTTGGTGTGACCTCCCTCAACTGTTTCAATCTTGACTGAAACGAGGTTCAATCGCAGTTGACTCAAGAGAGTTCTTGAAACTAAATCCAGCATAAGAGAGATCCCTCCTTCATT